ATGGGAGTCCAGCGACACAGCCATTACGCTAACTGCTGGTCCCAATGACTCATTTTTTTTAAAGGGTGAAGCTAGACCTGTCAGTTGTCAAACGATATGACAGTAACATAGTTGCGAATGATTCTAGTACTTTCAAAAATGAACTAGCACCATCTGCTGCAAAAATACATCATGACTTTTCTGACAACTCAATACAAAAAAACACAGGGAAACAACCAGTAAAAATGTCTACTAGATCAGTATTATTAATTTGTAATTCAAATATTCTATATTCTTACTAATTTTGTCCTCTTATCTAATCAGCTTTGGAAGGCATGGTACGTAATTTTTCTTTATATTTCTTTTTTTAAAAACAATTATTTTATTTAACTTTATTTATTTATTTATTCATTTGTTTATTTCAATTTGACCAGAGAGGGAATGAGGGAGAGAGAGAGAAAGCAAGTCGCCAGGCCCAGAAAGCAACCTGCCAGGTCCAGACTTGAACTGCAGTCAGCCATGTGGGAGTCCACTGCCCTTAACCACCACACCACCTGCCGGCCCCATATATATCCCAACTTTAGGAGTCCTAAATATATATCTCAGCCTAGTACTGGAACACCTTAAAAGAGCAATTAATCAAGAAAAACAAATAAAAAGGATTCACATCAGAAAGGAAGAAGTCAAACTGTTTTTGCTTGCAGACAAAACAATCTTTTGTAAAGAAAACTCTGGGGAACCAGCAGTTAGCGTAATGGCTATGTCGCTGGACTCCCACATAGTCAACCGCGGTTCGTGTCCCGGACCCAGTGGCTTAAAACTCACGCCGGGCGCGTGTGCGTGCGTGCCCAAGATCCCGAGAGGAGAATGGAGGAGAAGGGATTGCGGCGTGACCATCCCCCCTGAGGGGTGCTTTCTCGCTTTCTGTCTCTATGTCTCTCTCTGTCTGTCTGGCGAGCGCACGCGCCCTACAGTGAAAATCTCTCAAAAAAAAAAAAAAAAAAAAAAAAAGAAAACTCTGAAGATTCCTTCAAAAACTGTTAGAATTAGTAAATAAACTCAATAAAGCTTCAGGATACAAAATAAACATACAAAAATTGTCAGATTCCTAGACATTAATAAAGAACTGTACAAAAAAGAAATCAAGAAAATAATCCTGTTCACTATAGCCACCAAAAAAAATTTAGTAATAAATTTAACTAAAGAGGTGAAAGATCTGTATAATAAAAAGTATAAAACATTGGTAATATAAAATGAAGAAGACAAATAAATAGAAATATATACATGTTCATATATTGGAAGAAAAGTATTATTTTAATTAATTATTTTTTTGGAGAGGTTTTTGCTATAGGGCACATGTGCTTGCCAGAGAGACAGAGACAGAGAGACAGAAAGTGAGAAATCACCCCCCGGGGGATGGCCACGCCACAATCCCTTCTCCTCCATTCTCCTCTTGGGATCTTGGCCTCTCATGCACACGCACCCGGTGTGAGTTTAAGCCACCAGGTCTGGGACTTGAACAGCGGTCAACTATGTGGGAGTCCAGCGACATAGCCATTATGCTAACTGCTGGTTCCCTTTTAGTTTTGTTTTTGTTTTTTAATAAGAGAAATATTCTAAGACATTGGTCTGGGCAATTATTTTTTGAATCTGACTAAAAGACAAAAGTACTGAATATAAATGTAGCTGTATTAACTTATTAATGAATACACAGTATAAAAATATGTCAACTATGACATCAAAAACATGACAGGTGAGGAGTAAAAACTGTTGATTTTTTGGTATGCAATAACGTTTAGTTGTCAATAGTTTACAGTAGAGTTATAACTCTAAGATGGCTATGCACATGTGAGACATACAGCAGGCCCCGTAGCACATGGCTAAGCGCTGTGCCGATGAAGTCAGATGCCACAGAGCTGATCAGGTTTTGAGTCTCAGTCTCAGAGGCTTATGTGCCGGGTGCATGCGTGCATGCCCAGGATCCTGATGGGTGGAGAACTGAAGGAAAAGGAATTGTGTTATGATCGAGCCTTCGTGGGAATGTTTTCTTTCTCTTTCCTTCTCTCTTTCATGTGTGTGCATGCATTCTCTTGCATAATAAAAAAGAAAAAAATGAAAAACAATGAAAGAGACACATAGGAGATACAATACAGAGGTTGGCAGGTGGCATGGTGGTTAAGGCGCTGGATTCCCACATTGCCGACTGTGGTTTGGGTCCAGGACCTGGCAGCTTGCTTTCTCTCTCTCTGGTCAAAATGAAGAATAATAATAAACTAATTAAATAAATAATTATTGAAAAAATATAAACAGAGAGTAATTATTGTGCCCCACATATGTACATTATTTGTCAATTAAAAATAAAATAAAATAAATAGAAACTAAAAGAAACATTAAGAGCAATAAACACATCAAAATAATTTTTAATTAGATAAAATTAGTATGGCTATAGTAAATCATAAAACATATTCAATAAAGAAAATATTCTGGACATGTATTCATCACTAAAAGAAGCAGCTGATCTCACATGGCTCTCTGCATGGTTCAAGTCCTAGACCCAGAGGCTTGAAATCACACTGGGCATGTGTGTGTGCTCAAAATCTCAAGAGGAGACTGGAGAAGGGATTGCAGTGTGGCTATCCCTGCCAGGGTTGATTGTTCACTTCCCCCCTCTCTCTCTCTGTCTCTTTCTGGTGCATGCACAGGATCTATAGCATAAATAAATAAATAAATAAGACAATGATAGTAGGAGATGCCAATAATTCACTTTCAATAATGTATACATCATCCGAACAGAAAACTAGTAAGAGAACATTGGATTTGAACTGCACTTTGGACCACAACCTAAAGGACATATACAGGAAATCTACCCAATAGTGATGAAATAAACATCCTTTCCAAGATGGGTCGTATAGACCACAAAACAAGTCTTAACAGATTTAAAATTGGAATCACATAGAATGGGGCTGGCAGATGGCACCGTGGTTAAGGTGCTGGACTCCCACATGGTTGACCATGGTTCAAGTCCTAGACCTGAGACTCCTTACTTTCTCATTTTCTCTTTCTCTCTCTCTCTCTCTGGTCAAATAATAATAACCATAATAATAACAAATAAATAATTATTTTTAAAAAGAAATTACATAGAGTATCTCTTCTAACCACAGTATAAAATTAGAAATGAATAACAGAAGGATACAGTAGAACATGCTCCTGTATAACTAACCAGAAATTACATAGAGTATCTCTTATAACCACAGTATAAAATTAGAAATGAATAACAGAAGGATACAGTAGAACATGCTCCTGTATAACTAACCAATGTGTAAAAATAAAACTCCACAGGGAATCAAACAAGTATGTAGAGATAAACATAGAGGACACACAGCATATCTGAACTTATGGGATTTAGAAAAAGCAGTTCTGAGAGAGAAATTTAGAGCAATAAGCATCTACATTTTTTTAAAAAAAGAATTATCGGGCCAATAGGTGGTGTTGTGGTTAAGACACTGGATGCTGGTGGGCTATCAGATGGTGTAGTAGTTATGTCGCTGACTCCCACATGGCCACCTACCATTTGAGTCCTGGACCCAATGGTTTACAAATCATGTCGGGGGGGGGAGAAGAAAATGACGTAATGGTTACGTCACTGGACTCCCATGTGGTCTACTGAAGTTTGTGTGTGCTTGCATTCCCAAGATCCCAAGAAGAGAATGAAGAAGGGATTGTGGCATGGCCATTCCTCTTGAGGAGGGAGCTGATTTCTCACTTTCTAACTCTGTCTCCCTCTGCCACTCCAGCAGACACATCCACCCTATAGGGAAAATCTCTCTAAAAAAAATCATGCCAAGTGGGACCAGCAGATGGCATACTGATTACATTGTTGAATCCCACATAGTCGACTATGGTTCAAGTCCCAGACCTGGTGACTTAAAACTCATGCTGGGTGTGTGTGCGTTTCTCTCTTTGTTTCTCTCTCTGTCTCTCTGGTGAGTCCATGTGCTCTATTGAAAAAAAAAAAAAAACCACCAAAAAAACTCCCTAAAAGAAAAAGAGGGAGAGAGGGATAGACACCCTAAAAAAGAATCAAACAGAATTTCTGAGAATGAAGAATACAATACAGGAAATCAAAACCTCCCTTGAAAGTATTAGTAGCAAAAGACAATTATTGTCTATAATTACACTATGCAGAAGGAAGACTCACCAGCTTTAAAGAAAAGGCTCTAATTTAGTCCAAGCAACCAAAAAGAATGGGAAAATAACCATTAAAACAAATGACAACACACAGAAAATTCTAGACATTGTTAAGAGGCTGAATATCTGTAAAATGGGCATTCCCAAAGGTGAAGAAATGGGTAAAGGCATAGGAACTCTCTTTTATGAAAAATCTGAAAACTTCCCAAATCTAGAGAAACATACAGACATCCAGATCCACGTAACACAAAGAACACCAAACAGATCAACATAAGACGATTCCCTCCAAGGCACATCATAGCCAAATTGGTGATCATCAAAGACTAGACAGTATTCTAAAAATGGCAAGAGTTGAGAAGTGGTCACCCCATTAGATTAACATCAGACCTTTCAACTGAAACAATGCAGGCAAGGAAAGAATGGAAATACATATTTAAAACCCTGAAATAAAGACAATTTTAGCCAAGAATACTATACCCAGAGAGATTATCCTTCAAATGGGAAAAACTAAAACGATTCCTAGATAAACAAAAACTAAAAGAATTTATCAACATTAGACTAGCTTTTCAGGAAATACTTAAGGGAATACTCTACCAGGAACACAAAAGGGAGATAAATAGAAATAAGAGATGACAAAACAACTAAAAAAATAACTGATGAAATGATGAGGATAGCGCTACATGCCAAGGTGTAACAAATTGGTGGTGTGGTATTCCATCTTCTAAGTAACAGTCTAAGATCTTAAACTCCCCTCATTAATGGGGTTGTTTTTAAAGTTCAAGATGGTTCTATGGAACAGCTCAGTCAGGAGTCCTCTGAAGTTAGCCACTGACCTGACACCTGCAGCTCCCAGAGGGCCTCCTGCTCATAGGTCTGGGAGCTGAACGAGCAGCCATAGAGGCCGGCGTCCGCGGTGGTGACTTTCTTTAGCACCAGTGTCACACGCCCATCCTTGAAGTCCTTCACCAACTCGCTCCTCCCCCGATAGGCTGGCAGCTGCATGTGCTCCAGGTCCTTCCCACCCTGGTAGAGGTGAACCACGGCAGAGAACCGCTCCCTGAAGAACCGCACTTCCATGGCCTCTGCATTGGTCTCAGGAGAGAGGGCACAGGGGAACACTGCATCCTCTCCCACCAAGACTTGGACAGTATTCTCTGGCCCAATCACGTGCCACTGACCTGTGGAAAGAACACAACCAGTAACTGAGCGAGGGGGCAGAACATTGTCACAATCTCCCTAATGAACCAAGTGGGTGTCACTGTGTGTCTCCTTGCACTTGAGAGAACAAATCCACTTTAGTTAACCTGCTCGGTGCTCAGACAGTCCTGGAGACATGTCTGACTAATATTTCTGTTTTCAAGATGAGGAGACCGTATCTCAGAGAGATCAAGTGAGCGAGACGCTATTCCCAACGCGAATCTTCTCTCAAAAACGCGAATCTTCTCTCTCCCTGCCCATTCCTTCACTGAGGACCCACAACAGCCCTTTATATCTTCTTTCCTAGAAAAAGTCAAGATCTCTCCTTTTTCAATGACCCAAGGCAAGTGGATATTGCATAAATGTCCATTTGGGAGGTTATTTGTTTTCTTGAAACACATGATCGTGTTTTGTAAACATTTTGTGAACACAGTACAGGAGCACGTATTATCTGACTATAGACTAAATGTTTTTTGTGTCTCCTTATTTTCATACCTGCTTATTCTGCCCAGACCTAAAAGACACACTATGATGTGGTAAGGAGAGTTTGCAGGTTTTTTGTTTTTTTTTTTTAAGTTTAGTTACTTACTTCTTCCATGATTAAGAGAGACAGAGAGAGAAAGGGCATCCCTGAGAGGGTCTTGACGCCACAGTCCACTCCGACCTGTCAGCTCCAGATCATGGCAAGTGGCCTGGTGCACTCAGGGAGGTCTCTAGGTGCAAACCCAGAACCTTCCCGTGCTGGCCGGCCTCAGGGAACGCTGCACTCTGTCCCTGACATGTTAACGACCCTGGAGCACATTTTAGCCAGGGAGGGTTGGAGGCAGGGGATGAGCCCAACCTTTCCTAGATCCGGACGAAAGGAGCGTGAGCCTCTGTCTACATGATTCTCCAGAAAGTTCCCCAGAAAGTCCTCAGTGTGACTGAGTTCCACTGCCCTCTCCACTGCGAGCTGCTTGTTAGCATATTTTCATTTAGATTTCCACTGTCAAGCTTCACCCCCTCCCCACTTTTGATTCCCAGCATCACTTCCTAAACAAACCACTCATATACAAGACTTCTCTCTAGATCTGCTTAGAGCAGGGTCCCCAACCCCAGAACAGCCACACAGCAGGAGGTGAGTGGCAAGAGCAAAGCTTCATCTGTGTTCACAGTGGATCCTCCTTGCTCCCTGTTACTGCCTGAACTCCAGATTCAGGTCCTCATAGGAATGTGACCCCTACTGTGAACTGTGCATGCAAGGGAATGTGCACTCTCAAACCACAATCCCCACCGGGTCCACGGAACAGTGGTCGTCTGTGAAACAGGTCTCTGTTCCAAAAAGTTTGGGAACTCAGCCTAAGTCAGCGGGGCTGCCATTGTGCCAGCAGAGGCCTTTCTCTGAGTCTATTTCTTGGGCAGCCCTCCCTCGGGCAGCCCTCCCTACTGACACCTGTCCTGCCTACAGCACCTCCTTCCTCTCTAGTTGTCCTTCCCTGTAGCACGACAGGGAAACGTGTACTACACCCCTGGAGCTCGGCCACGAGTTCTGTGTACCCAGGGTCACGCTGTCCTCGGGGCAGCCCTGCCAGAAGTGCAACCCTAGGTCCTTGTCATGGCAAGCACACTGACACATTAAAAAGCTATGAACCACAAACTCAGGAGCAGAGGAAATGGGAGTGTTCGAAAACGAAGCATTTCTGCCTCTGAGTCATCTGCACGAGGTCCTGAACCTCCCCTGAGAGGCCCTCTCTGAGCAGCACGCGTGGATTCGGCTGTTACTTCTCTTTTCTCAGTGCTGTTTAGCAGGAAGACACGGGTTCACAGGCAGTAAATGGAGTCTTCAAACACAGGAGGTGAACACGGTCGTCTGAGCTTCTCTGTGGCTACTGCCTGCCCGGGTCCCTGCTCCGGTCCAGCTTCCTCTAGCATTTTATTCAGTTACTCAACCTCCTGACCACCAGGTTTTGTACTGAATGTTAATAAAGAGTGGACCTCAGTCTCAGATAGGCCACATTCCAGCAGAGGGACTGGACATCTTCCCTGTCCTCCGGTCACTGATCACACGTCCACAGCTGGGCTCTTGTCTTTTCCTCAAAGTGCTAAGCTGTATCTCACGCCACCCAGGCACTCAGGGCAGAAACCTCCTTTCTTAACCCCCACACTCTGTGTGGGACAAACAGTTGATACACGCAACTCAGCATTCCGGGTGCGTCCCTCCCCCATCGTAGCTCCCACAACCCGGAGCTCTTCCTGCTGCCATGTCTCCCACAGCCCGGTACTGGTAACTGCCAGGCCTGGGTTAGCAGAAACTAGGAGAATCCATAAAACAAAGATGCTCCCGCGTCATCGTGCTGAAATGGTTGTAGCTAAGTAATGAAAACAGTTGTTCAATACGAAGAGAATGGAGAGAGCCCGTCCGGACTTACCTGAACCTATCAGGCTTACCTGACGCCAGCTGGAGGAGCGCGAGAGCCAGCATGAGCACCACGACCATGGGTGGGTCCTGAGGCTGATCTCACGCTGTGGAAACAGATGACGGCAGGCATGGGTGGATGGGTCAGAGATGGGGGGTCAGGCCAGTGGTCGCAGGTGCAGGATTGAGAAAGAGCCTATGATGAGCTGATGGCAAACCCTGCTGTTCTTCTCTTAGTCTCTCTAATGTAGACACAGGAGTGTGTGTTGAGAATATGGGGACTGGACTTTGAGTCATGGCATTTACTGGCAGGCCATAAATATTTATCTCAGACTAAGGAAACAAAGGCTGAAGTGCAGTTGGGACAGACTCAAAGGAGACTTTGTCCTGGGTAAACGGCCATCATGCCTTGGTTAGTGGCAGGGACATATCTGATGCTGGAATATTTGGGGGCTCAGTCTGGCAGAGCTGTGCAGAGGGTAAAGATCTCATTTTGAAAGAATGGTCATGCCAGCAGAGGGTGGTGGGTCTCAGACAAAATGGTAGTGTTCTAGAAGGTGCTGAGGGTAACTCTGTCCTCTGCTTTCTTGTCTTGAGTTCAGAGCCAAAACTCGGATCAGAAGACCAGCTAGGGAAGAAATTGCCGGATGAAGATAGAGTCTTGGTGTCAACGGATACAAAGTATTGGGAAAGTATCAGTGTTGATTCAAGAATGGGGAAAGGCGAAGACGCAGCCATTCAATCATTTATTAGAGGTGGTAAGGCAGTGCCCCCAAAAAGATCATGCAAGCTTTTCAAGTATGTGGAAACCCATGATGATTAAACGTTTACTAGATAAGAAATCAAGTTTCCATGGCTACTATCACGAAAGACACATTCTCTTACCACAGTGCAATTAAGGAAAAAGCTATTTAAAAGTAGGAAGCCCTATACACTAAGAAATTGTTAATGACTCTATTCTAAATAACTCATGGACCTTAAATAAATTTTAATAAAATCTAGAATGTATTTAGAATAAAACAAGAGTGAAAACACTGTCTTTGGCTAAAATCCCAAACATGGGCAATGCCAGTGTCTGGCAAGGATGCGGAGCACCCTGCATTAGAAGACAACCTGACAATTTTGTACAAAGCTGAACACACTTTTACCATGTGATCCAACAATCATACTCTCCGCTACTTTTCAAAAGTTGAAAATTATGTCCACACAAAAGCTTACACATAAATGGTTATGGCTTATTTATTCAGAACTGCCTAAAACTGGAACAACCAACATGTCCTTCAGTAGGGGAACAGGTGAGCAAACTGTGGTACGTCCACACATTAGAATACTGCTTTGCAGTAAGAAGAAGTGAGCTACCAAGCCACAAAGAGACATGAGGAGCCACAAATGTACATTGCTGTGGAGGTAGCCAGTGTAGGGCATGATTCCAACCATATGATGTTTAGAAAAGGAAAGCTACGGAATGATAAAAAGTCACTAATCTCCAAGGGTTTGGGATGGGGGTCAAGGAGGATGCAAATAACAAACTGGTAACATACAGAGCGGTAAACACAGGAGGGGTTTTGGCAGTAAAATTGCTCCATGTTGTTATACTGCTGGATACATAGCATCGGACCTTTATCAAAACCCATAGGGCAGTACAACACAGAGAGCTGTAACAGATACGTCACGTAAATGCACGATAATAGGTGAAATCGTGTGTGCATGGGGGAAGAGTATATGGAAAACCGTGTTTTATCCGCAATTTTTCTGTATACCTAAAAGTGATCTAAAAGTTAATAAAGTCTATTGGGGGACCAGCAGTTAGTGTAATGGCTATATCACTGGACTCCCATGTAGTCGACCGTGGTTCACATCCCGGACCCGGTGGCTTAAAACTCACGCCAGGCGCGTGTGCGTGCGTGTCCAAGATCCCGAGAGGAGAATGGAGGAGAAGGGATTGCGGCGTGACCATCCCCCCTGGGGGGTGATTTCTCTCTGTCTGTCTCTATGTCTCTCTCTGTCTGTCTGGCGAGCGCACACACCCTATAGTGAAAACCTCTCAAAAAAAAAAAAAAAACCTATTCTTTATGACAATTTACTGCTAGGTACACAGCATCAGATGTTAGTGTGTGTGCTGGCTTTTAAAGCACCCACGACCATTAACAAATAAGTGAGTGACATCAGTAGCACAGAATGTGGAGGGGAGAGAAGGGAAGTGTGGAGTCTATATGTGATTGGAGTCAGGGTGCTATCAGCTTAAATGAGGGCATTATAATCATAAGATGTTTTATGTAAGCCTCTTGGTGCCCAGGCAAATTATGCCAGTTTTGTCAGTCCTCTGGGTGAAGTGAGATAGAAATCGTCCCGTTGGACAGCACACTAAGATCTGGGGGTGCAGGTGCATGCTTCTCTCCTTCCCTCTTAGAGATAACCCTGGGCCAAGGCCAGTACTCTCAGCACTGTTGGCCAGCTTGGAGAAGGTGCTGATGCGGCTAAAGTGAAATGTCCTTCTCATTCATTTCAATGTGATTGTTCTCAGTTTCCTGCTCATCTTGGGTGCTATGACTTCTTATGTGGATTCAGGAACCTATGTATTATATTTTGGTCCACATGTCATTGTTAAATTGCTGTTTCTGTGGGGGAATGAGGGCTGGAACTTCCTAAATTCTGCTATCCCACTTCAGTCAGTCTGATAGGGCTTTTTTTTTTTAATTGCTGAATAATGTTCCATTGATTTATTTATCAGTACACCTACTGATGAATTCTTGGTTGTTCCCAATTTTTGGCAATTACTAATAAAGCTGCTATAAACATTCATGTGCGAGTTTTTGTTTAGATGTAGGTTTTGTTCATTTGGATAAACTCCAGGAACATGGTCTCTGGTCGTGTTGTAAGGCTGCACTTAGCTCGGTTAGACCCTTCTAAGCTGTCTCGTATTATGGCTGTACCATTGTGCATTCTCAGAAATAATAAACGGGGGAACCAGCAGTTAGCGTAATGGCTGTGTCGCTGGACTCCCACATAGTCGACTGCAGTTCACGTCCCAGACCCGGTGGCTTAAAACTCACGCTGGGCACGTGTGCGTGCGTGCCCAAGATCCCGAGAGGAGAATGGAGGAGAAGGGATTGCGGCGTGGCTATCTCCCCTGGGGGGTGATTTCTCGCTTTCTGCCTCTATGTCTCTCTCTGTCTGTTTGGCGAGTGCACGCGCCCTATAGCGAAAACCTCTAAAAAAAAAAAAAAAAAAAAGAAAAAGAAATAATAAATGGCAGTTTCTATTCCACATCCTAGCCAGCAATTAATGTTAGTGTTTTAGATTT